CATTGTGATTTTGCAGCATTCAGCGTCAACTGCCTTGTTGTTCTTTCCATTTCCCCTCTTGTAGTCATCGTATATATTTTTTCCTGTTTCTGCTCACTTTATCGGCATTAGCTCTTCCATTGCTTCTCTATAATTACCACATTTATCATTTCTTACAGCATAGTAACATTCCATTGCATTCAGCCACTTGTTTAGCCATTCTTCCTGGGTGTCTGTTTTACTTCTGGTTCATTGTTACTGCAAAAACTGCTGCGATGATTATTTATTATTTTGATAAAGATGAGGCCATTCTTTTTAACCTTGTCCATGCTGCGGTATGAGTCTAACAATCGAATTTCTGGCTCAGAGAGTACTGCTATTTTCCAGAATGGTTGGACCAATTCACAGTTCCATCAACAATGCGTTCCTGTGCCTGCCTTTGTCCAGTCTCTCCAACAACTATTTCAATGTTTGTCCTCTGCCAATTTGCAGGTGTGAGCTGAAAACTCAGACGTGCACTGATTTGCATTTCGCTTTCTGTTATTGATCTGGAGCATTCTTTCATATGGTTTAATAGTTTGCAATTGTTCTGCAAAATGTTTATTCATCTCCTTGGACCATTTATCTATTGGGAAGTGGTTTTCGGTCTTAAGGATTTTTGTCAGTTGTCTATATATCTCTAATATCAGATCTTTATTTGACATACTTGACGCAAAGATGTTTTCCCAGTTGACCACTTCCCTTCATATCCTCTTATTCAGGCAAAACCTTTTCAATTTCATGTCATCAAAAATATTTTATCTTTAGTAATTGCTTCTGTTTCCTGTTTGATTAAAAATTCACTTCCTAAGTGTAGTTGTGAAAGTTTTATCATCTGCTTCTCCTCCAATATTTTAATGGCCTGATCTTTTATGTTCAAGTCACATATCCATTTTGGATGTGTTGTGGTACATAGTATAAGATGCTGGTTTAAATCTCATTTCTACCAGTTTGCATAGTGATTCTTGTCAGAAAGGGAGTTCTTTCATAAATAATGTGTATTTTTTGCTTTATTGAGCACTGGGTTGTTGAGTTCAATTATTTCTGATTTTTCCTGTCTAGTCTTCTCCAATAGTTGACTCTTTTCCCCTTTTTAACCAATAACAAACAGTTTTGGTGATTACTATTTTATTTTATACTTTATAGTCTAGATGTAATATTCCCCTTTCATTCTCGCATTTATTACCTTTTTTTGCTTTAATATTCCAGATCTTATATTCCTCCAAGCGAATTTTATGTTATGACTTTATCTGGATTTGTTAAATATTCCTTTGCTACCTTCACTCGAGTAGCTCTAAATCTGCAAGTTAAGTCTTATAGTATTGTCCTCTTTATTTTGTTGATACAACCTAGCCATGAGCATGGAGTATCCCTCCAGTTATTTACAGTGTTCTTTGTTCCTTTCAGGTTCATTTTGTAGTTATATCTGTAAGGACACTGAGTATCTTTGGTCCAAATAATTCCCTGATTTTAATACACTTTGTAGTTCTTTTGAGTGAGAATCCTTTCTATTATTGCTTCCTGTATTTTGTTACTGATGTATAATTCTGCATCCTTTTGAGAAAAAGTTATATAAGGAATATTCTTTCTTTAATCATGCCTTATTACCAAGAAAATACAAGGATTGCATTTGGAGGATTTTCCATTACCTAAAGAATGAGGAAAAGAAACAGGTACCAAAAAGAACTAAGGGCGGATTTTAGGGCATTGCTTGGCCTTGCTGTCTGCTTCTCTAAAGCTGCTCTCTCAACATCTCAATGGGCAAAATTTAGCAGCAAAATAAAATCTAGTACATTTCTTGGGGGATTCAGCGTACTGGACTAAAAATATCATTGAATTTGCATCAATAAGTCCTGGGTTCAAATCCCAGCTCTGCTGTTTCATATTTGTGTGACTTAACTTTTCTTGGCCTTTCTTTCATCACCTGGAAGATGAGGTTTTCTACATGTGCTATGAGCTTTCTTCAAGCTCTAAGCCTTAGGATAGCCAGCTTAGGGTATGTGGCTTTATGCACAGCATCAAAATCATCTCTCTCTCTCTCTCTCTCTCTCTCTCTCTCTCTCTCTCTCTCTCTCTCTCTCTCTCTCTCTTGGTGAGGATAGTGGTGTGCTATACACAGGACATAGGTAAAAGGACAGAGTTTCTATCACTGTCTTACTAGATAGGTTTTGTAAGGACAGTGGTTGCACAGTGGGCCAGCTTAGCCTGGATTCAGGAAGATCTGAGTTCAAATCTGGCCTCAGAAATTTACTAACTGTGTGACCCTGGGCAAGTCACTTAACCCCTATTTACCACAGTTTTCCCTTAAATAGGGATTATAACTGGATCAATCTCCCAGGAGTCTCCCAGGATTGTTGTGAAGATCAAAAAAGACAGTATTTGGGGTTTTCTTTCAAAGGGTACTTAACATAGTGCCCGGCATATAGTAGGCACTATATAAATTCTTATTTTCTCCCTCCCTCCCTTCTTTTTGACCTCCCCTCTCCCTGCTAGCAACTTAAAATAAGGAATAAAAGGTGGAAATGCACAAGTTCTCAATTTTTTACTGGCCAAACACTGAATGTTTTTTCACTAATCAATAGTTTTCAGGTTTGGCATCTTAAGTTTCAAGACAGTTATAGAGAAAGGGAATATTCATGAGATATCACAACATTGAGTTCTGTTTCAATGTATTCAATACAATTGGTTTCCTTTGTTATCCTGTGTATTTACATCTGCTAAGAAGGGTGTCCGTAGGTATCCCTGACAGAAAAAAAGAGAGAAAGATTGCTTGGAAGAGCAGAATAGACTGTGTTAAAGGAATTCAGGTCAAAGCTGGATGACCCTTTATTGGGACTGATGTTGAAGGGAGGTGTGTTCATGTACCGGCTGGCCGTGATGACTTCTTGAGTCCCCTCCAGCTCGGACCTTCTGGGCTCATGGGAAAAAGCTGGTGGTGGATAATAGTTATTGTAAAGATGCCGACTGAGGCCCTGAGGACTTTGATGGCTTGCATTTGAGACCCTTGGAGTCTTATGTTCTTTTTTCATAGATAAGAAAATTCTCTCAGAAGAGAGAATTATTTCTCCATTGTTCTGGGTTATTGTACAGCCCCTAATCCCTGGGAAATTTAAACCAGGAATGGATAAGCATTCTTCTCTCTTTGCAGTGGACTGTATTTGCCCTGTGACCTTCTTTCTAGACTAAAGCTGTCACTTAAACGATGTTTCTTGTTGTTGTTCAGTCCTGTCCAACTCTTTGTGACCTCTTCTGGGTTTTTCTTGGCACAGATACCAGAGTGGTTTGCCATTTCCTTCTTCAGCTCATTTTACACATGAGGAAACTGAGGCAAACAAGATTAAGTGACTTGCCCAAGGTCACCACAGCTAGTAAGTGTTTGAGGCCAGATTTGAACTCCCCAAAACTGAGTCTTCCAGCCCAGCACTCTATCCGCTGCACCACCTAGCTGTCCTATCTTCAGTGTTACATGTTGGTAACAACCAAAATCACGTGTGCTTGGCATGTTTCTGTGGCACTCTGAGGTCTAGCTTGGAATGGTGAGGTTGGCTGCGTGAAGAATGCCACACTGGCCTATGGTGTGTGTGATTTTCTGTTTAATGAAGGCTCTAAGTAGGGAAAGGTGAACTTCATGTCCCCCTGTTCTGACACACTTCAGAAATGTTCTCTTGGAAAATAGACAAAAATTTAATTAGCCTTGAAAGGACAAATTATCTTTGGAGACTAGTGGTCTAGAATTCATTTCTACATCAAGGAGAAAAGTATACTCTAGGATTTTCCAAAGGACCAGACAGCAGTGACTTAGGGCTAGGTGAGAACAGTTCTGCTCTACATTCTATGCTGTGATTCTGTTTATTTTTATATAGCATATCCCTGGGTTCTTTAGTTGCTCATTAAGAGACTTCAAGTCTTAATAAGGCAAAAATATAGTACTTCATGATAACGACAATAGTTAACAGCCTGTTTTAGAGCATCAGGGGCCTGACTTGGGCTGTGTTTGAACTCCCCGGGTGAAAACTACTTCCATTTATCAAAGAAAGAGGAAACAGACCCATATGTACAAAAATATTTATAGCAGTTCCTTTCATGGTGGCAAAGAATTGGAAACCAAAGGGTGCCCATCAGTTGTGGAATGGCTGAACTAGGGAATGGCATATGAATGTAATGGAATCCTATTGTACTGTAAGAAATGATGAAGGAGATGGCTTCAAAGAAACCTGGGAAGATTTGTATGAGCTGATGCAGAGAGAAGTGAATAGAGCCAGGAGAACAATTTGTACAGTAATAGCAATATTGTAAAGACAGACAACTTTGAAAGACTTGTGAATTCTGTTCCACACAGTGACCAACCACAATTTCAAAGGTCTCATGATGAAACATACTCTCCACTGCTAGACAGAGAGGTGGAAGACTCAGACTGCAGATGGAGGCATCTTTTCTCTCTTCTCTTCTCCTGTCCTCCCTTTTCCCTTCCCTCTCCTCTCTTCCTTCTTCCCTCTTCTCTTCCCCTCCTCTCTTCTCTGCTTCTGTCTCTTCTCTTCTCCTGTCCTCCCTTTTCCCTTCCCTCTCCTCTCTTCCTTCTTTCCTTCCTTCTTCTCTCTTCTCTTCCCCTCCTCTCTTCTCTGCTTCGGTCTCTCTGTCTCTTCTCTTGCAGTAATTTGTTTTACTTCACTATATACACTTGTAATTGGTCTTGTTTTTCTTGCCTTCTCAATGGGGAGTGGAGGGAAGGTGGGAGGGAGCCAATTTACCAAACCCTCCCTCCACCTGCTCAGATTGCAGCCCATGTGCAACCCATTATCTTTGAGGGCTTCACGAAGCTCAGAAAGGTTAAGTGACTCACCCATCATCATGCAGCTGAGAAGTTTGCAAGGCTCCATCTTCCTGAAGCCAAATCGAACACTCCCTCCACTATTCAATGCTGCCTCTTATTCACTGACTGAATATTAACAGTAACATTCGCCCAATTTCTCTGACTTCCGTAGGGGTTTGCCAGCTCGTTAATAAGATGGAAGAGAATTCCAGCAAATTCAAACCTTTCAACAGAAATGATGAGCAGTTTCTGGAGGCTTTTGTCATCTTTTGTGGACTGGGAATCCAGAACACCCAGATGTATGAAGCAGTGGAGAGGGCCATGGCCAAGCAGATGGTAACTCTGGAGGTAAGCCTGCAAACAGTGGGGCTCCCTCGCCTCATCTCTGGGTGGTCTGCTTGGGTTTCCTCAGGGTTTCACGGCTAGGACTTAGAATATTTGAAGAGCTGATGATTTTGTCAGCAAGGGGCACTCCCTCCATGGGAACCCCTTCTACTGGTGCAGGTAGCAGACCCTCTAGGACTGAGGAGATATGACCCCCCACTGAGGCATGCAGAGGTTAAATGACTTGGCCAAGGTCTAGCCTTTAGCCATTGCACCTTCAGTACTAACACTACTAATACATTAATAATGGATTCTTGTGTGACCTCAGTCAATCCTTATGGTGGGTGGGCCAGAGAGGTCAGCCTCAGTTCATCCTTCAGGATCATTGGACTTAGGACTGGAAAAGGCTTTAGAGATCATTAGGTTCTGATCCCTTATTTACAAAGGTGGAAACTGAGTCCCAGTAAATGCGGTGATTTGCCAAGGCCACTGGAAGAGTAAGGAGCAGAGCCTCTGGTTCTCACTCTAGTCCTCTTTCCACTGAGGCACACTGCCTCACCAGGAGACAAAGACTGCCCTTCAGTGCTGTCCTTCTGGGATGCCATTTATGTGGGACACTGGAGTTTAGTCACAGCCAGTCTTCATTTGAGTCTCAAGCCAACCTCATGATGTGGGCAGGATGCTTAATGCTTACTTTACAAATTAGAAAACTGAGCTCCATTGAGGGAGAATGTCTTGGTTTGGCGGAGCTGAGATTCAAACCCAAGTCCTCTGACTCCAGGCCCAGTGCTGTATCCACTGGGCCACCTAGCAGCCCAATGTCACAGAATCATAGTGTTAGAGCTGAAAGCAACCCGAGGGGATGACTAGTCCAACCGTCTTCCTTTTACAGATTAGGAAACTGAGGTCCAGTGAGGGGAAGTGACTTGTCACACAAGGTTTAATTGGAAGAGGCAGACAATATGAACCTAGGCTTTCCTGACTCCATGGCTAGGACTCTATCCTCTATCCCACTGTTACTATGTGGATCCCAAGGATGCCAAATTCCACTCTCAGGAAGGGCTAAGAATAGTGTTTGTTCTTTTATTTTGTTGTTTCAGTATTATCTGACTTTTTGTGACCCCATTTGGGGTTTTCTTGACAGAAGTATTGGAGGGATTTGCCATTTCCTTCTCCAGCTCATTTTACAAGTAAGGAAACTAAGGCAAACAGGTTAAATGACTTGCCTAGAGTCACACAGCTAGTAATTGTCCGAGGCTGGATTTGAACTCAGGAAGAGGAGTCTTCCTGATGCCAGGCCAGGCACTGTATCCCACTGTGCCATCTAGCTGTCTGCATTTACTTTGTATTAACTGTTCAATTGTCTCTCATTTATCTGAATATATTGTATAAAAATGATACTTCTCTTTTTAAAATGAGTCATAATTAAGAATCTAATCCAATGGCGATATTTAGATTGATGTAATTTTTTTTGATAACTAAGAGTTCTTAGTTTTTTTCAAACACCTCTTACCATATCTGTAGGTAGGCAGTTTGCAAAAGGCCTATAGAATGAAGTGGGTGGGAAGTCAAAAGCCCTCAGCTACCACCTTACATGGGTTAGGAATGAGCTGAACATTGAGGCCGATTTGCTCTCCCAATATGAAAAGTTGCGGTGAATATTGCTTCGTTGTGATGTCAACATGACTACTCTTGAAGTGAAAATCTTCACAGAGGGACCGATGCTGGAATAGAATATCAAGCCCAGACCCAAGAGAAATAAATGGGGAGACAGATCGTCGAGGGCAGTTGTTTCGGGAGCAGGATGGAGGTGACGTTGAAAAACTTTTGTCTTTCCTTATCAAGTCATTGGAAAACAGTCAAGACTCAAAATCTCTTAAATAGGCATTGAGAAATTTAATCACACAAATATGATTTTAGTTTTATTTTAGGAATTGAGACAAGATCTTTGATTTCATTGGAATAGGCAACTCTCAGATGAGGAAAGCCTGTTTCCCCAGGCAGGTCACACTTTCTGTTCAAGCTCTAGTCTTGAAAGTTGCCTAGAGCCTGAGAACTCAAGTGACTTCCCTAGGATCACACAGCCGGTAAGAGTCAGAGATGTGACCTGAATGCAGGTCTCCTTCCTGATGGCAAAATCAGCCCTCTACCCAGTAAGCCTCACTGCTTTTTGATTTTACTCATATTTTTATTATTTGCTCGATAGCTGACCCTTTGGAGCATAAGATTGGTAGAGTAGAAGGGAGCATTCACACAGTTAATTTGCATTAGGAGAGGTACAGTGTCTAGAATACCAAAGAGTGAGCTTCCTGCTGTGCGCTTCGTTGGTCTGAACATTGCTAGACTTTGTTCTGTGCACCACCTTTTAGGAAATCACCTCAACAAGCATTTGTTAAACATCTCCTCTATACCAGGCACTGGACCAATGGCTAGGGATACAAAGAAAGGCAAACACAGTCCATATCCTCAAGGAGCTCGCGTTCCAAAGGGGGAGGTAACATGGAAACCATTATTTACAAACAAGATATATACAGGGGATACTGAAGTAATCTGAGAAGGAAGATACTAGCCTTAAGGGGGGCCAGGAAAGGCATCTTGCAGAAGGTGGGATTTAGTTGAGATTTGAAGGAACCTGGGAAAATAAGGTGGAGGAACTTTCAGGAATGGGGGCCAGTCACTGTAAAATACTTGGAGTTAGGAGGTGGAATGTCCTATGTGATAAATAGGTCTCAGAGTGTGTGAAGGGGACAAGAAGCCTGGAAAGGCAGGAGAGGGCTAGGTTCTGAAGGGACTTTAAAGCCAGACAAACAGAGAATGATCCATTTGGTGCTAGAGGTAATAGAAGGCTGCTAGAGTTTATTGGATGGGGGGAAGGGAGGTATCATGATACGGTCAGATCTGAACTTTACGAAGATCATTTTCCTAGCTAAGTAAAGGACAGGCCAGAGAGGAGAGAGACAAGACATAGAGACCAACCTGAAGGCTATTGCAATAGTTCAGGCAGGTGTTAATGAGGGCCCGGACCTGCAGTGTCTGCTGTGTCAGAGGAGAGAAGGGAGGAAACACAAGAGATATCATGAAGGTAGAAACTACAAGACTTGGAAACTGATTGGCTATTGGGAATGACAACAGATGATAAGATGAGGGGAACACTTGAGTTGCCAGATAAATGAATGGGAAGGTATAGTACCCATGATGGTAATAGCGAAGATAGGAAGAGGGGAGGTTTTTTTAGTGAAAGATGGATTCTGTTTTAGACATGTACAAGAAATTCCTGTGAGATAGCCAATCTTAGACATCCAACAGGCATCTGATGGGGATTTGAGAGTGGACATCAGGAGAAAGCTTAGCCATGGATAAATAGATCTGAGAATCCACCGTATAGATGTGATCATTAAATCCTTGGGAGCTGATGTGATCACCAAGTGAAGTAGTGTAGAAGGAGAAGAGAATACCACCCAAGAGGGCCTTGGGGGAATATCCATGGTTATTAGGCATGATCAGGATGAAGATCCAGCAGAAGGGATGGATAAAAAACAGTCAGGTAGGAGGAGAACCAGGAGAGAACTGCACCAAGAAACCCTACAAGAGCTCCAAGAACAGGGAGAAGAAGAGGCTGCGAAAAGGTCAAGAAGGAGAGGTCTGGAGAAAAGGCTATTTAATTTGGCAGCTAGATCGTTGGTGACTTTGGAGAGAACAGTTGAGGTAGAATGATACAGTCGGAAGCTGAATTGTAGAGGATTTATAAGAGTGAACAGAGGAAGTAGAAGCACGTTATAGGTCTCTTTTCCAAGGAGTTTAGCCAAAAAAGGACAGATATGGGAAAATAGCTCACGGGGATGGCTAGATCAAGGGAGGTATTGTTGAGGATGGTGCAGACACAGATATGTTTGTAAGAAGGAAGGAAGGGCTCGGAGACAGGGAGAGGTCCAAGATTAGTAAGAGAGTGTGGATTATGGAGGGGGCAGTCCACTAGAGGAGGATGTATGTAATAGGCTCATTTCTGCATGTTTGCCTTGGCAAGGAGAAGGGCCACTTCAACATGAGAAATGGGGGTGAAGGAGATAGTGGGGGGATACATTTGAGTGATAAAATAAGGAAGAGAAGACGGAGCTCTCGGTGAATGCCATTTTTTTTTCAATGATATATAGCAAAATTCTCAGCTAAGAGGGTAGAGGGAATCATGAGAGAATTGAGGAGGGATGAAAAGTTTGGAAAAGCCATGGTAATGATCGGGATAGCCACCTGATTGGGGAGGTAGAAAGGGATGGTCTCACTGCTGTGGTAACACCTTGAAATTACATAACACAAAGTTATAGTGGACCCCAGAAGCATGGCTTCATGCTTTGCTTAGCAGCATATGAGTGGGAAGAAAGGCAGTGTATCCAAGGCTGAAGGTCAGCAGTGTAAGTCTGGGAATGGGATAAGGGACTGGAGAAAAGCACAGCAGAGAACTGGACTGCTTTACTGAGCGGTGGAGATGGGGAAGAGAGGAGAGGATGGCCAGTGTAGGGGTGTGTGTGTGTGTGTGTGTGTGTGTGTGTGTGTGCGCGCACGTGCATGTGCACGTGCATGTGTATGTGTGTGTGTGTGTGTATATATATACAACAAACCCCCTTGTATGAGGTCAGGATTTGTAGAGGAGAGAAAAAAGAGTATATTGTGGATTGGTAGATAACAGGTACCAGGATCTTGATTGAGTGATAAGCACAAAGTGACTGAATCTCAGAGGAGTAGAGGCCATTGTCTGATGGTAGAGGGAGAGTATGGAATTGACAGTGGGGAGCAAGGAGTATTCCAATTCCTCTATTACATTGTGGGGGGAGTCTGAGTTAAAGTGGAACCAGTGCTGGAGGTGGCCAAGGAAGATGTGTGATGAGGAGTAAGCTAGAAGATGGAGGGAGTGAGAAAGGAGAGTTAGATGAAATCCTAAGATGAAGGCAAGATTCACTTTGCAATAGGAATTGCAGAGACTACAATGGAAGAATAGGCAGAACAGACTGGAACATTAATATTAGTAAGGTAATTCTTTCACTGGGATGTTGTGAGGCTCAAAGGAGATACTGTGGATAAGAAGCCCTGAAAGCCCTAAGGTGTTTGCTATTAGCACCAAGAGTAATGGGTCTGACTCACTCGACAAACATTTACTGAGCATTTACTCTGTACAAGCCAGTACTCCAGAGGCGGAGCAGAGAATTAGGTGAGTTGTGATCCCTGCCTTCTTACTACTTGGTCTAATAGGAATGTGAACACAAACATGTAAGTAGAAAACTCTAACACACAGTACGGGCAGTAGGTGAAGCAGTGGATAGAACACTGTGCTTGGAATCAGGAAGACTCATTTTCATGAGTTCAAATCCAGTCTCAAACACTTACTAGCTGTGTGACCCAGGGCAAGTCACTTAATTCTGTTTGCTGCCTCTGTTTCCCCATCTATAAAATGAGTGTGAGAAGGAAATGGCAAACCACTCCACTATCTTTGCCAAGAAAACCCCAAATGAGGTCACAAAGAGTCAGACATGACTGAAACGACTCAACAGCGAAGCACAGTCTATTCCGAGGTGGAGAACAATATGCCTTGTGAGCTTCAAGGATGTTCCTGATGTACTGACGAGAGGTCCAGAAAGGATTCATGGGGAGGGCAGCACTTCAGCCTGACTTAAAAAGATGTATGCAAATCCAACTGGGCATGGCCACTGTCAGAATTTGAGTCCTCTGGCTTGTTGTGCAGGGCACTCATTATTAGTTCATATTGTTGGTTTTGATTTGAAATTAACTTCAAAGGAAATCCCTTTTTTTCTCAACTTGTCCAGTGGATGATGATGATGTCAGTGATGATGGTGGTGATGATGGTGATGGTGATGATGGTGGTGATGGTGATGGTGGTGATGGTGATGGTTGTGATAGTGATGTGATGGTAATGGTGATGATGTGATGGTGATGATGGTGGTGATGGTGATAATGGTGATGATGGTGGTGGTGGTGGTGGTGATGGTGATGGCGATGATGGTGATGGTGATATGATGGTGATAATGGTGATGGTGATAATGGTGATGGTGGTGGTGGTGATGGTGATGTGATGTGATGGTGGTGATGGTGGTGGTGGTGGTGATGATGGTGGTGGTGATGTGCTGGTGATGGTGGTGGTGGTGATGTGATGGTGATGGTGATAATGGTGATGGTGATGGTGATGATGGTGATGTGATGGTGATAATGGTGATGGTGGTGGTGGTGATGTGATGGTGATGGTGGTGATGGTGATGATGGTGGTGATGGTGATAATGGTGATGGTGATGATGGTGGTGATGGTGATGGTGATGGTGGTGGTATGGTGATGGTGATGGTGATGTGATGTGGTGATGGTAATAGTGATGTGACGGTGGTGATGGTGGTGATGGTGATGTGACGGTGGTGATGGTGATGATGGTGGTGATGGTGATAATGGTGATGGTGGTGGTGGTGATGATTACATTGTGATTGTTCTTTATATCCCTTTTTATATTGGAATGAGAGGCAGCTGACAGTGGATCCACACAGTGGATGAGATCAGGAGCCCCCTCAGACTGGCTGTATGCCCTCAGACAAATCACATACCTTTTCAGTGTTCTGGGCAGTTGTCTAAGATTTGAAGCTGCAGAGTTGGTGTTGCCCTACCCTGACAGAGGAGGTTTTCTCATCCAGGAGTTCCCTGTATCAATGAAATCACAGGTCTAGACAGCTTTTGAGACCCCTATGTCATCCCCACTCCACAATGATCTACCTCCACTTTGACTAATGGGAGATTAAAGTCCCTGACAACTCCATAGGGGTCTGTTGAAAAAAATTACCTAGCATTTACGTCTATTATATATTGGGAGCAGCTAGATGGTTCAGTGTATAGAGTACTGGGCCTGGAGTCAGGAGGACCTGAGTTCAAATCTGGCCTCAGAGACTTACTAACTGTGTGACCCTGGGCAAGTCACTTAACCTCTGTTGGCCTCATTTTCTTCATCTGTAAAATGGGGATAATAATAGCACCTACCTCCCAGGGTTGTTGTGAGAATCAAGTGCTTAGCATAGTCCTGGCACATATTAAGCACCATATAAATGTTAGCTATTGTTACATACCCCTTTAAGGTTTACAAAGAACTTTACAAGTATTATCCCATTTTATCTTCATGACAACTTTGGGAGGTAGGTACTCTTATTATCTCTATTTTACAGATGGGGAATTGAAGCAGATAGAGGCTAAGTGGCTTACCCAGAGTCACACAGTTTAACCAAGGCAGGATGTGACTTCAGGCCTTCCTAATTCCAGGTGCAACACTCCATCCATTGCACCTACTAGCCACCCATGACACAGAATCTTGAGACCACTATCATTTAGCCTGATAAACACCAGTGTGAGCTGTTACTTTGAGGAGTCTCTGAATTCACATCTCAGTAAGTTCTGAGTTTCCACAAAAGGCCTTTCAGTAATTCAAAGGTTCATAGGGTCACAGATTAGAGTGTCAGAGGCCATCTGGTCTGGCCACTTCATTGTACAGACGAAGAAACGAAGCCTAGGGAGATGAAGAAATGGAGCAGAATAGAGGAGCCAGATATGTACAAAAATCACTCATTTAATCAAAATTAAGCCAATACTTTCCCCCTTTTCTGTTTTTCTTACAATTTCCAGCTAAAAATGACTAAGGAATAGATATGTGAATGTTTACATTTTGTGCTTTGTATTAGAAAAATGAACAAAAAAAATTAGCCAAGTTTTAGCCAATAAGTGCTTTCTTCTTGTCTCATGTCTAAACACTGTAGCTGTTATGTCAACAATATCAAAACTGAAAGTTTCAGGGAGAGTTTTCTTTAAACATGAAAGAAATAAACTTTTCCATTTCTGGGAGAAATGGAATTTGATGTCTGGGATTCTTTTTTTCTTACCTGAAGAAGCCAGCTAAACTTACATGTACATTGAAAAATCCCTGGGACTGCCTATTTAACTGTCCAGTGATATTTGATGGGGTTCAAGTTTAGAACCGGATTTTATAATCTGTAAATACATAAGTATCTCATTTATGAAGTATGTACTTTTTACCTTTTTTTTTCCCCATATTGTATAGGTTCTATCATATCATGCTTCTGCAGCAGAAGAGGAAACCAGAGAGCTTCAGTCATTAACAGTAAGTTAACTTTGCAAAATGCTGAAATTTATACTTCCAATTTATAAATTAACATACTGTTCTAAATAAGAAGTCTCAAAGGCAATAGGCACCCTTCCCCCATAAAAATATAGCAGCTTTAGAAAATATTTAAGTAGTGGGCTAGCAAGAAAAGTTAATCAAAGGAACAGTGGTATCCACAGTGATTTCTTTTAGCTTTGGAATTCATTAAGTGGAAAGAGGACTGAAATCAGGATCAATCATTCATTTTGACTACAAGCATCTTTTAAGTACTCAGTCACTATGCTAAGCACTGGGGATACAGAGAGGCAAAAACCAGTCCTGCCTTTGAAGAACTTAATAATAATAGCTAAGATTTACATAGCACTTTGGGTTTGTAAAGCATTTTGTGGGTGTATGAATATGTATGGGTGTATAAATGTGTGTATAAAGTCTCATTTGATTCTCACAACCCTGGGAAATAGGTGCTATTATTATCCCCATTTTACAGATGAGGAAACTGAGGCTGAGAGAGTTTAAGTGAGTTACACAGGGTCATACAGCTAATAAATATCTGAGGCTGGATTTGAACTTGAGTCTTCATGACTCCAAGTCCAGCATTCTGTGACACCTAGCTTGTATTCTAATGGGGAAGACAATTTGCAATTAACTAGGTACATACAAGAGAAATACAGAGTAAATGGGTTTGCTGTTGTTTAGTTGTTTCAATCGTGTCCAACTGTTCATGATCCCCCTTTGCAGTTTTCTTGGCAAAGATGCTGGAGCGGTTTGCCATTTCCTTCTCCAGTTCATTTTACAGATGAGGAAACTGAGACAAACAGGGTAAAGTGACCAGGGTCACCACAGCCAGTAGGTGTCTGAGGCCAGATCTGAACTCAAGAAGATGAGTCTTCCTGATTCCAAGTCTGGCACTCTATCCACTGTGCTACCTAGCCACTCACAGAGAAAGTGGGAGGTAATCTCAAAGAGGAAGGCATTAGCAGGTAGGTAGAATGGGAAAGGCCTTTTACAAAAGATGGGGTTGGACTTGAGTCTTGAAGGAAGCCATGGAAGTGAAGAGGCGGGGAAGGAGGGAGAAGAGTATTCCAGATTTGGGAGAGAGCCCATGCAAATACATGGAGACTAGAGACGGGGTGTTGTGTGTGTGAGGAACAGCAAACCAGCCAGGGTAGCTGGAAAGGTTGGAAGTAGATGGGATATGAAGAGCCTTAAATACCAAGCAGAGGAGCATGTATTTGATCTTTGGGATAATCCGGAGCTATTGGAGCTTACTGAGTAAGAGTGTGACATGGTCAAATCTATGCTTTAGAAAACTGGCTTTGGGAAGTGAATAGAATATGAATATGAATTGGAGTGACGAGAGAGAGAGAGAGAGAGAGAGAGAGAGAGAGAGAGAGAGAGAGAGAGAGAGAGAGAGAGAGAGAGAGAGAGAGAGAGAGAGGGAGAGAAAGAGAAAGTCACAGAGAGAGAGAGAGAGAGAGAGAGAGAGAGAGAGAGAGAAAGTCACAGAGAGAGAGAGAGAGAGAGAGAGAAAGTCACAGAGAGAGAGAGAGAGAGAGAGAGAGAGAGAGAGAGAGAGAGAGAGAGAGAGAAAGTCACGGAGAGAGAATGACTTAAGCTAAAGTTAGACCAGTCAGAAATCAGAGGGCCTGAGTCTGAGCTCTGCTTTTCTTATTTAATACCAGTATAAGTCACTTCAACTCCTTGGGTTGAAGCTTCTGCTGTTAAATGAGAGGAAGAAACCAAAAGAAAGTCCAATTCGCTATGATTATCTCAAAAACAGCAGCAAATAGGACAAAGGCAAATGATGAGCTAAAAAATCCTCATGGAAAACAAAAATCACCTCTCAATAAAAGAAAAAGATGGGCAGACAAAAACAAAAGGCTCCAATGTAGTTAATTATTATGCATGGTGAAAACTGAAGAGAAAGTACAAAGAGAAAAAATATAAGAAAATAATATTATCAAGGTCTCCGGAAAGGCAAATGCATTTATGACATTTAAGCACTAGCACCAAGCTTACTAAAAGAATTAAAGGAGCTCTGGAATAGACGGAGATGAAATCTATAAGACAAGAAGGCAAAAGGACAGCTCAGAGACTCGGCAGTTTGAATTGTTCATTAGCGGATCATAATAAAATAGTTAAGTCTCTGAGGAATAGAATTGTGTTCATGGAAGACAAAAAGACAGGTAGCAAGAGAAGCAATAAAAATCAATCCTAACATCATCTTAAAATCAACACAACTGTAAGGTTCAACAAGTATAGAAACAAAGAAAATAGAGACTACCTTAGATAGAAAACCTGAAGATTATTTTGCCCTAGAAAATTCTGAAGGAAAACTGCTCTGATTTACTTATTTCCCAAAACCATCCATGAGATTTCTCCAAAGTATCCAGAACATGTTGTATGGTACAAATCCATGCAGTTCACAGGCCGCTGACAGAGATGAATCCTAAGTTTAATTCACATGGTTGTTCTGTTATTAGACTCCAAAATATCAGCAACAGAGAGAGGATATTGCAAGCTGCCAGGAAGAAAGACGTAATGTATTAAAAATAAAAACTCAACAACTCAAAGTCCCACATAATTTCTTATCTATGACAAAAAAAAAAAGAATCCATAACGTTATATACTAAGGAATCTAGGGAGACCAATTTAAAAATTACCCATCCAGTAAAACTAAGCATATTTTTCTGGGAGAAATAATTTTTCAACTGAAGAATCCCAGGAATTACTACAGGAGATAAGACTGGCACTTGTCTGTAGTAGACAAATCAACCACAAAGCAAAAGGTTAACACACAGAAAAACAACTGTAAAGCAATGACTACATGGCCAGGTTTAGTGAGGACTACCCCAGGTATAGCTGTCCATGTATTATGGTAGTAACTGAACTCCCACCCCTCAGCCTGCTGCTCGATTCATATTAATTTTTAACTCTAAAGTTTCAAGACAATCAAGAGATATGTTCTGATATTTCCTCATAAATTAGTAGAAAGGCACACTCTTCCCCACCCCAGTTTGAAAAATAAAATAGGAAAACCTCTTTTCCCATAAGCTTTTTCTCTTTTCTCTCTTTCTCAAAATCCCTTGCCTAGTAGGTTTAAACATCAATAGTGTTGGCTATACAATTTATTTATAAATAAATTGTGACAAACAATACGAAGACATATTTCAGTATTTCCACAATGTGTTGCAGTGAAAAAGCTGATAGCCTGAGTTACCTCTAACCATCAGTTACAACTGTTGACTTCTCCTCAACTCTGAAAACAACAGCGCTACTTTTCTGCTCTCTCTGTACGTCAGTCAGAATCTCACAAGAACGGTCTTTAGGTCACCTCCACAGCATAAGAGTTAAACCCAGTTTTGTCAGAGAACATTTCTTTAATCTTCCTCAAAGATAAATTGACTTCCTCAGTCTCAAAGTTTCCTTAGTCTTTTTATCTTTGTATCTCACCCAGTCTTTCTCCAGCCAGATCAGTTAACATTCCAGAGGACAATTAGATTGTTTCTTTCTCAAGATTCTATTTCCTCTTAAAGCTGTAGCAACAGTATCCATAGAGGGGCTACATATAAATCTTGGGTTAAGAATGAATGTCTCGAGTCTATAGCCTACTATGGATAGACAGACAGTTTTCAGAATTGAAGTGGAAAAATTATTGCAAATTGTACAACACATGCCTCAGAGTTTCCTAGAAGGAGAAACAAGGAAATGTGACCTTGAGGGGAGAAAGGAAGTAGATTACCTTACGAATGAATGAGCATCATAGATGAATAAGCAAAAGAGGGAGGAAGGGCTTGGAAACACTGGAGTGTGGATTCTCAAAATGCTATTACTGCTGGGCTTTTGAAAATTTCATAGCCTTAAAAGTAGTCAGTGGAGAAGCTGTGTTTATTGTCAGTAGGGTATATAGAAATTGCTGCTGATCCCCCCCCCCCACTGCCAGCATCTGGGTGGTGCCCCTCCTGTGTTTCTACGTTAGGACCTTGTAGAGACTTAGCAGAATCCCCCTAATTTCCATCTCCCAGTAGTTTATTGGACCAATGCAGCTTCCTTGAGCTAACAAGGTAGAGTTATTTCGAGTTATTTCAATTATCTGGGGATGCTTCCCAGGACATCATAGGTAAGGGAGTGGTCCTGGGGGGGTCATTTGCTTTGGAAGATACAGTTTTACTGTCCCCATTACTAGAGAATCACAACATCTCAGAGTTCCTGGACTAATTTGGCTACATTTGAAATAGCAGTGAATCAAATTAGTCTAGTTTCTGTGGTTAATTTTTAAGGTTTGAATTTAAACATTGTTTCCACTTCATTCTTTGAAAAAAAAAATTTATGTCTTCTCAGTATAAAGCTCTCAAGTGCCCCCTGGTGGTTTGGAGATGTTCTCAAAGGTGTTTCCGACGATGCAGAGTTTGGGTAAATGTTCGCATTCTGGAAAGGCTACAGCTATGGGCCTGACAATGGTCTTTGTGTCTGCGACCCAAAGACTAGTTTGGTTTCTTTGAGGGGGCTTATTTTTAGGGAAATGGCCACCTGGTGATGGATCGTTTTCCCCTATAACTCATGATGGTCTCTTAAAGCATGGTGACATTGAGATCTGCCTTGGCAAAGCCCTGACCTCCCTGGCAGTATCCCAGCTCTCTTGCTAACTGTTCGAAAGGCTATGCTAGGCCCAAGTGAGGCAAGGGAGTTTGTCATTCCTTCTTGCTTCAAGGGAAAGCTGGATGACAACTTGTCTATGATTCTGGAGAAGGCATTCCCATTTGGATGTGGGTTGGATCACATGGCTCCTGAGTGCCTTCTCCTAAGGTCCTGATGGAGACACACCCCTGGCCCTGTTTGAGCATCCTCCCCTCCTCCAGCTATCATTAAGGAAAGCAATCCTTTTGGAGAAGGGTCTACACTGCCAGCAGTACTGCCAATGCTCTTGACCCAACTTGACTGACACCAATGGTCAAGGAAGCCCAGGAATGATAACAGTCCCCAGATCACTCGCCCTG